AGCCAGGAGAGGAAATTAAGATGTTATTGAGGGTTTGAGAGATATCTCATGTTTCAGAGTGGATCAGAAGGCCCTTTTGGTTTTCCTTGTTTAAAGTGCCTGTAACAGGGAGGTGAGGCAAACATGTTGGACAGCTTAGCTGTGGCAGAGGGCTGAGGTGGAATGGGGCTGGTCTTAGGGACCTGTGGCGCTTCTCTGTTCTCTTGGCACAGCAACAAATACGATCTTAATTCCACATGCAGGTCCATCTACAGCAGATAATTTCTCAGTGGAAGAGTTTCATCTTTGGTGGTCTCCACAGGGCAACCAAAAGGTTTTACTAGATGGTTCCCAGTTTTACTTGGGGAAGGGAGGATGCTGGACTGCAGGAGGTGTCAGACAAAGTGAAGCAAAACTGAAGCTGACACCTAACTTTTGGGTGTTTTTATTGCCTTCCACAAGCACAAGCTGAAGAGAGCTAAAGCTGCTTCCACCAGGTGTGTGCCTTTTCTTGTCATACTAATGTGCATGTTTTAAGAACAATGAGACTCTGCACATGAAAATCCATCAGCAAAGGTATTTCCAGGTAACACAGTGGATTTCAGTTTTTCCCACGTGTTTACCAGGGCAGCTGCATGGAGATTTTAAGCTGGCTCCAGAATGGCTTTGCTTTTCTCTGCTCTTTTTCATCGCATCCTTGGAGAAATGGTCTCTTGTCCCCAGCAGCCACCCTGGCCATGGCCACCAAACTGTTGAGATGGACCACTTGGCTTAATTCACAGAGCCTTTGGGGTGCTCATGACTTATTAATTGACTCCATAAGAAAGAAATAATGGGTAAATTAGCATAAATATTGCACTTGGGATTCAACTGTGCTTGCAGCTGCCTTTGCAATCAGGGGTGGTGTAAAGTTTACTGCGTAAAATAGAGAGCTCCGAAGTCAGTCTGAGAATAGCAGGTTCCTCACCCGAGCTCCCTGATCTGTGGCCATCCCATGGGCATCTTTTGATACGGAAGACCTCCAGTCAGACCCCATCTCCATGTGCGATACCACGTAACTTTTAGCCTCCCAATGTCCTATGGAAACAAGTTACCCCAGCTAATGATGCACTCTGTAAATGGGACCTCCTTAATTTGCTTTGCAGGTGATGGAGTGACTTTGGGTTTGTTCTTTCAGCACCCCGGTTCTCTCTAGTGTGTGAAGAGCAAACCCATGGTTTTGGGGACTTTGCAAACTGGGCATGAGCAGTGCTGGGAGCTGGACATTCACAGTGTGAGGTGGAGTGGAAAACAGCATGGCGCAGACAGTGTCACCAACATGGAGCACTTTATGTCTCAGTCATGGGCCAGAGCGGACCAGTCACTGTGTGATGTGTTTTTCCACTGTGATGCCTATAAAAAACGTAAAGAGGTAGTTTGAAGGAGATGAAAAGTCCTACCAACATCGCCGTTTATTGGGCCTCTCATTGTGCTTATTGAAATAACCCCTCATCCCTGTTTGTCAGTTTGCCCATGTGTTTTCTTGTGGATACGGTGCAGTCCAACATTGACATTTTGCTTTACTAATGCAGAGAGAATATGTTTGAAAGAAAGCCAAGCTGAAGGAAATCTGTACCTTGCTGGTAGACTGGATGTGCTTTTTGCCTCTGTGTGAGAGTGAATTAACTTTGCTCTAGGTCCCTGCAGTCCCTGCTTAATGCTTGTCATGAAAGCGATTTGCAAAGCCCTCTGTCCTGGTGGCTTCCAGGAAAAGCAAAGTTGAGAAATGGACTTGGCTTGTCCCAGCACTGCTCTGCTCCCAGCAGGAAAACAATTTTGGGTGCAGGCTTGTGAAAGAGAAGCAGTATTTAGGGCTGCAAGTGTGCAATACAGGCACCCTGCTTCCAGACCTGCAATGCAGATGCGAGTCTGGAACTAATCACAGGTCTTGGCTGGCCCACCTGGATGAGTCCTTGGTGAATCAGGGCTTGGAGAAAACCTTTCACTCACATTCATGGATTTCTATGACAGTCAAGCAGCTAAACACCTTCCAGGCTCTGAGTCTAAACTGGTAAGCATGGTGTAGATGAGATGCAGTCCAGCCACTTCTGCACTTGGACACTATCCAGCCACTATAGCAAGGAAAATATTTTCCTCCATTAGCTGGAAAAGGCAAAGGATCAAAGGATGCAGTCTGACAGCCGGGAGGCTGAGCTTCTTCCTAATGGGAAGTCACGCTCACCTGGGGATGCTGGACTGACCATCCCTGGTGCTGGAAGAGACCAGAGGAATGAAGCTGCAGATTTTCCCAGGGTGGAGCAAAAAGCCAGCCTTCATCCAGAAAGCAGCTACAAATCCTGAAGACACCAAGCAAAATGTAAGCAAAAGCCTCTAGTGATATGGGGACAAAAGTTGCAGGTATTTAAGTCACTCAGGCATCGTTAACATTTGCTTTGTCAAAGGCAAGATAGGTTTCTCTGACGTGTGCCTTGCAGCAGTCTCTTCTGGGCTTGCAGCGCCTGAAAACAGAGCCAGCCCCAGTGTGTAATAGGATCTTCACTGCTGTTCCAGGGCTTGAATAACATTATGATGACTTTGCATAGATTTTTGCCCTTAATACAAATAGGGAAATGATTTTCTAATCAGGTAAGATAAGGCTGAAACATGATAGATAGAGTTGGGTTGGTTAATGAAGTACAAAGAAGTAGCCTGTAGCTCCATAAACTATCCTTAAAAATAATGCAACGTTAAAAAAAATGGGTTTCTTTGGCTAAGGGTGATGCGAGAAAGCCTTGATGCAGATCTTAGTAATGACTGCATTTCGATGAGCGTTTGAAGAATATATATGTATTTATTTGCATTGATATGTTTATATGGCTTTACATATCAACTTAGTCAGGAAAATTGAATAAAATGTCTCAGGTCCGGGAAATGAGAAGAGATTATGAAAAGCAGATTTAATATAGCACCGTTTTTTGATGTTTGTGGCACATTTCATCATATTGCCAGAGACACCCAATTACACAGCTTGCAGAGTAATCAGCAAATGGGGGATCCGAAGGAGAATATTAACTGTGGTCTTTTTTTTCCCCTTCCTCCTCCTCCTTCTTTAGCAAATATTATGTTATGCTTTATGGAAATGGATCAAAATGCCACATGTGCAGTTAATACTGAGCTCTGGAGCTCTTTCAAATCTCATTTTTCCCCCCACATTGTATTTTTCTGGAACAAACCTCCTGATAAGTTTAGGACATGGTCTTTAGGCCAAAGCATCACCTTAAACTTCCTGCAAGTTTGGGTTCCAGTTTTAGCAGGTGGTTGACTTCACCTCATCGACCTTGTGAGAGGGGAAAAATTGGGTCTTATTGTTAATTGCAGACAACCATGTGTAAGGACATGATCATAGCTTTTCCATTCATTTCCCTCTTGGTGGAGGCAGGAATTGACGGAGCTATTTGGTTGCTTTAAAAGTCACAAACACTCCTTGTCCTCAGGAATTTTAACATTTAAAGCAAGCCTGTAACAGCCACGAAAATATTCCCCTTATTGTGGGGACAAAATAGCAATGCTGTAGTCTAGGACAGCTGTGGCTGGCTGGTATTTGGTGTGCATGTGATCAAACAGTCCTCAAAAGCACTGATGGAATCGGGTCAAAATCATTGCCACTGAAAGCATTTCAGGCAGGGGTGTTCCCAGACTCTGCCCATATTCCCACTGTTCCTGGCTCTCTGCCTGGTTTAAGACAAAGTCTCTTTTCTTGAGAACGTCAGAAAAGTTATTGATCATCCCTGCAAATGTGCTGGCTTTTCCTTCCCAATGACTTTTTCCATACTATGTTGTGTTTTTTTTCCTCCACAATGTTTCTCCAGTTGGGAAAAGAAGCTAGGAAGTCATATTGGAGAGGGATGACATTCTGAAACTGAATAATGGGATTCTTTTTCAAGAGCTTTATTATCTGATAACTTCAGGAACATCTCAAAATTACTCAGATTTTTTTTTCCATCAGCTTCATCAGGCATCACATGAGGCCTGTAGCCAAGATGGACAAGAGGAAATGGGCATAAACTAAACCACAAGAAGTTCCATCTGAGCATGAGGAAGAGCTTCTTTGCTCTGAGTGTGACTGATCATTGTAATACATTGCCCAGAGAGGTTGTGGAGTCTCCTTCCCTGGACATATTCAAGAGCCATCTGCAAACAACCAGAGCAATGGGCTCTAGGTGACCTTGCTCGAGTAGAGAGGTTGGAAGAGATGATTGCTTCCAACCCCAACCATTCTGTGATTCTGTGAAAGCCCTTGATATCGCTAGTAACTTCTTACCCAAATATAAGTTTCACCATTTAGGTGATGTTCAAATTAACCCTGAGGGAGCAGCACAGTAGAGAAACAAGCTTTGTAAAAGCTTCTGTTATCTTCTTGAGCACAGCCCACCATGGCTAGACCTAGAATATAGGACAGGTCTTCCATCAAAAGAACAGAAGTACTTCAAAAACTGCATGAAAGCCTCAGTGATTTGATAATAGCCAGATTTATCCTACACCGCTGCTCTTAAAGACAAGCTCTCTGGTCAGGCATTTGCCATCATCAATGGATCAGGAAATAATTTGTCTCCTGGCTTGTGCTGGAAGATGACAAGAGAATGGAACCCTTGTGCCTTGCAACTAAATGGGGCTTTTCACCTGCCACCCCAACTGGAGACAGTGACCCCAACAGCATAAAGCTGATATTCTGCACCTTTTTGTGCAGACCTTTCCATGTCATCCCAGCCTCCTCTGGCCCACAGGCAATGGCGATCACCACCATCAGCAGAGATGTGGTGGTGCCGTGGGGCCAGGCAGGGAGCATGGATTTTAGTGTGGTCACCATTACCTGACCTACACTCTGTGTTCAGGTATTCTGCACTAGAAAACACCTCAGATCCCAGCAGTGACATGAGACAGGTACAAAACAGATCAGCCTGCTTGCATTTACACCCCTGCCCATCAGCTCAGGTAAATGTTAATGAAGGATTTGCAAAATAAATTTTCCTTGATTTTTTTTTTCCTCTTTTATTAGCGGAGTATGAAAACAGGCAATAATTTTACAGAAAGCAGGACTGGCACAATTGGTACATAGCATCATGCTGCAGCTTTTTGGAAATGAATATAAACTCTTTTCGTCTTCTTCTTTTACCTACCAGAATAAATAAATATGATACACATTTGAGTTCCTCGATAGTGAATTCTAAAGCACAAGGTCTTACACTACAGCTCAATTTTACAGCGATCTGTACAGTATATTACTTTGATTTCCTTTTTGTTCTTTAAAAGCCTTTGTTCCTTTGCAAGATAGGTTTGGCGCACAAACACGGTTACACTTTGGAGCTAACTGTATGCCTTGGGTCAGAAGCTGGGGAAAAAAAAATAAATGGATTGCCTCCTAGCAGGGGAAAATAAACCAAAAAGTTATTTTCCGTTGCACAGACACATCTAAAGTTCTGCTGTATGAGATGGCCCTGCTCAATTGCTAGAGCAGGTAGAAAAGGCTTTGGCCATTTGTAGGGCAGTAGATGTGCTATTTAACTTGCTGTGGGTTTAATGTGTGTCTTAGACAGCTTTTGCAGAAGGCTTTTAGCTTGGAGCCCGGACTATTCAAAAAATAATATGTTTTTGTTGGTATGTGACAAACCTTATATTCTTTACAAATTCAGCTGGTGGCTTAATTTTGTCCTTAAGTTGCGGCATTGCTCCACTGAAATCAGTGCAATTACTCCGCTATACAACAGTAATGAGAGTTTTTACGTAGTGTCTGGGTCTCATTTTACAAGTCACAGCAGGTTCCTATGAAACCAGTAAGACTGACTGACCTGGAACATGTCCTGAACTTCGTATGAGGTCCTGAGGCCATGCTCAGCATTGGCATTAATGAGACCCTTCATTAATGAGAAGCACCCATATAGAGAATAGGTGACATTAGCATCTCAGCTCTTGCATCCCTTCCCTAGGCAGCCTGAGAAAGCAGGAGACAATGCAGATGCTGCTATCTGTGCAGCTGGGAACAAAACAGTGCATCTGCAAAGTCTGTGGAAAACAGAGGACGTTAATAATTACTGGGCTGTTTTGCAACAGGGTAGGAAAGTCACACACGCATCAGAGCAGGGGATTCTTTTGTTTGTTTGATCTTGCTTTGCTGGAAATCTGTTTGTTTCAGGTTTGTTTTAGCTTATTGCACCAACCTTTTCTTATCCCTTTGCCATGGATTTGGATGGAGAGCAGTCCTACTCAGAGAAGTAGCTTTTTTTCACCCAACAGAAAACAACAGCAGATGCATTACGTTGTACTAGAACAGATCATAAAAAATCAGCAAGGGGCACATGGAAGGGGAAGGAGGGAGGAAAAGAAAAATCAACACAGCTTGTAAAAACCAGCAGGAAAGTTCTGTAATAGACTTCTTTTTTTTTTTCCAGCTTAATTGAGTTATGTTTCATAGCTACTGTAATTAAAGTAATGGAATATGGTGGATTTGAATTTACATTTCCTTTCTACTGAAGTTTATTTAATCCTTTACGTATGAACTCTTCAGAAGTGTCCTGGAAGTGCTCAAAATTGTCCTGTCAATGGAAGTACCACATGGAGCACACAGGGGCAGAAATAGTTCCAGTTCCCTCCTCTGTGTCCACCCACTTTGGTGTTTCTTCAGCATCTCTTTGGCTGGCTGCGGTGGCAACAGAAACCTAGAGGTGGTTAATATTCTTTACCTGGTGAAATGCATAAATGAGAAATGAGATGTGGGGGGATCTGTTTATTGATGGCTATTTTTGTGTTTGTGAGCTTTTTTATGTTTTCTGCACATCAAATGATGATTTTTGGTGGAGGAAATACAGACAAACCTTCTCACTCTCATTATTCCTGTATTCACCATCAAAGATGTTTCCACTTGTCAGTCAAAAAAGTAAAAAAAGAAATAAAAAGGGAACAAAGAGGTTCCCTTTCTGTCTCCCAGCATCATTACTGGATCTTTTCTCACTTGTATTATTTAAGTACTTGTCCTGAACTGTTTAAATACCTCCTTTATTTTATGAATATCTATCCGAATTCTCTTGCAGAGTAGAAGAAATGTAACTGCAATCTCTTACCCTGAATACTGTGACCTGTTTCCTCCTGGGACCTGATCCTGCAAGGAACATAGCTAAAACCTTTGAGAATTCAGTGAGTAGGGTTTGGAGCCATAGAGAATTCACCAAGGAGAGGCAGTGTAAGCAAAGCCATAGGAAGTGGAAATGACCCACAGAAGAAATCTCTGTATACCTAACCTGTTTCAAAATAGGAATTCATTAGACTGCTTCCACTCTCTTTATGTTTTTAAAAGACTGGGCATATCCTTCTCCCACCTTCCATGCCATGTTGTGTATTTATTTGGCATTCCTTTCATGCTTTAAGAAAATCAATTTGATCATCTGCATTATGATACGTTGATTCTCTTTTTGTGGTTATCTGCCTGTGGCTGAAACTGTACTGGACGTGCCCTGTCCCATCACCAGGTTAGCACAGCATCCATAGAAGATAGATAGCTCTTTTTCCCCCCATAATAGTTTGTCTACCTAAAGAGGTAGGATCTCAGGTTTACACTGCAGGCATTTTATGCCCAAGATAGAAGAAACTGTGTTATATCCAACTGCAATGTTTGTTAAAATGCGTCAGATCTCTCCCTGGACAGTGAGGGGAGATAAAACTCATTCCATTTTGTTTCTAAGGTTCCATCAGTGATCTCATTTTCCTAAATAGCTGGGGCTGCTGGAAAGAAAAGGAACAAGTAGACCTTACATTATAAATCAGGGGAGATTTGCAGGACTTCTTCTCACCTGAAAAAATGCATAAGTAAGTTTGTAAAGTCCAAAGAGGAATGATGCAGTATTGCTTCCTGTGGTCTCTCCACTACATACACTTGCTTCAATTGGATGGGGAGCTTTTCTGGTTATTGGTTTGGGTTTTTTTTTGTCAGAAAAAGACCAAACACCCAGAGACGTTAAAACAGATGTAGGAAAGTGTCAGTTTTGATGGATAATTAATTATTAAACTGTTGCAAGCTGGGATCCTAAATTCTTGCTTTCTTGCATTTCCAAATCAATTTTGGCTTTACGTGTCAGCTTACTCCCATAGTGGATGTTTAGTTTTGACCATAAGAAGACAAAACCCAAACTTGGCATAAAATACTTCAGGGCCTCACATATATTTCAGGCAATTTTTGTTTTCTTCTGTTTATTTTTAAAATTTAGGTATTTTCAGCCTGATTCAGAATGGGAGAAATGATCTTCACACAAGAAATATTCACATGGTCCAGGACCAGCTGCTGCACCACACAGAGGCGGATGAAGGTGACACTGAGCACATATCACTAGGGATTAATGGAGATCTAGAAGTCTCCTCACCCAGTTTGCTCTCTGGGCTGCACTGACTTCATCCTGATGTCCATGGTCTTAATGGCATGCCAGACACTCAGCCTGGGAAGTTCCAGTAGTTGCTCCAAGCCTGCTCGTCAGGATGTCTGATACCACAGGGGATGAAGGGGGCCAGGTACCAGGGTTCCTCAAGAGGTTTGAAGATGGTGAATACGTTTTTGCACTAAGGCATGGGGATGAGTTTCCCTCCATGGTTTGGTAGGGAAGGTCTTGTCTTGGGGTTCAGAGCAAATCTAGTGCTGGATTAAGTGAGCTTATCTCCTGTGCTCCCTGTCCCCACCTTGCAGAAGCAGAGTATAAATCCACGCTTTGACCTTCCTCTGGTAGATGCTGTGATATCCATAGTGACCTGTGGTAAGGCTACGTCTGCCCTGATCTAAGCTGATTTTGCCCTTTCCAGACCCATAGTACCCAGCAGAGAAGACATGCCTGTCTTACCTGGGGTGGTACAAGAGCAACTATGACCCTCTGTTCTCTGCCTGAACCACCCACTGACATGAGTCACAGTTTCATGGGTATCTTTACTTAAAGAAGATCTGAAATCCAGATCCGGTCTCACTGCGAATGACCACCCTTGTTCATCTTCATCAGCTCAGTCTAGAGTGGCACTAGGGAACAACATCAGAAGGAACATTAATCAAATCAGCAGTTGCTCTGCCTTGGCAAAGCAATTCCATGGCCTACAAATGCTCTGAGGCTAGCAGAAGGCAGAAAAAAATAAAGATGTATATAGCTTTTTGAGGCAGGATAAGGAGAAAAATTAAAGCTTTGTTCTAGTGTCCCTGGTTTGGATGACAGGCTAAAAAATGAAAGCTGGGACTTTCAAAGGATCTTTTTGGAGACAGTAAATGTACTTTGGTGGTTTTAATTTAAACAGACTCCTTTGAAAGTGGTAGCCAAAAATCTACTTCCTATGAATACATTTGGTTTTGGCAAAGTGAAGAATTCTGCCATTCATGAGGCCTGATTTGACAAAGTCAAAAAAACTAAAAGAGAAAAAAAAAAAGCCCCAAACCTGAAGTGTTTGGCAGAACAGAACTATTTAAGGAAGTTGCTCCATTTTGGCAGCTGGTGCAGTCAATGAGCTGCCCCCTCCAGAAGTCTGCTCTTGCAACAGCTTCGTGAGGGATAAAACACCATTTCCCATCAACCTTGGCTATTCTTGCATCTTTGTTTGCAGGAGTTGGATGCTTTTTCAAGAGGCATTAGCTGAGTTGAAACACTCTTTCCTCCCATGTTTAAAGAGGCAATTTGACCCCTGACTTCTGCCCTGGTATGAAGCAAGGTGGAGCAAGAGGGGTGGTAGGTTACGGGTCTACACTTCATGGTGAAATCAAGTATGGACCAGCAGATCATCTGCAGTGAATTAGCACAGCTAAGCCCACTGTGTTAGTGGCAAACCCAGATGACATCCTTAGGATTCAAACCTAGCACCTGCCACAGAGTCATTCTGCATGTTGCGTCCTAAGCAATATGGAAGGTTAGATCTGGGTCTCATCCCTGCTTAAAGCTCAGGATAACAGCAGTGGGTTCAAAGGATTTATTTGGTTTGGCAAAAAAAAACAACCGTGAGTTGAGTTGGCAGAAACATTGCTTCTCAACAAGGAAAACCATCCTCAGTTGCATGATGGATCAGCCAATAAAATGAGAGTGAAAGTGTTCGCTGAAATAATTGTAAAGATGGTGGATTTTGGTTACCTGCAAGTCTGTCATTTTTGGCAAGTTCATCTCAGCCCCAGTGGCTTTAGACCCATGGGCTTTATATTCCAAAAGGAATATAAAGCCCTTGCTTATCACCTGCTTTGCCTCCAGCATTTCAGCATTTTTCACTCGTTACATTTTCACTTGCTAACCAGTTTCTGAACCTGCAAGGCTTGAGGGTAGAATTTGGTGATCAGGGCTTTTTTCTAGACACAGCTGGCATTAATCAAGTTTTTGTCAAAGAACCATATAATTCATGTATGAACATACCAGGAGTTCATACAAAGCTTGTATTAGTCTCTGTTGTCAAAGTTAGACTGAAATGCTGTCCAAAAAGAAAACTCCATAGTTTGTAAATAGAGTTTACACTCCACTGAAGATCAACGAGCAAACAATCTAGGTCAAAAATGATCCCATGAATTTGGCTTTCATTTTTCTCCCCAGCCAGCAGCATTTGGCGAATATTTTGTCATCTGTCTTTGAACAAGTGCTATTAAAAAAATACTTGCCTTACAGGAAGTGCTTAAACAGAAAATTCACCTTCATATAATTTCCCAGGTGTTACAAAATTAGCCTTAGCAGAGAAAGAAGTGGAGCTGTGAAGTGCACGAAGATTTCTCTTTGTCATAGATACCTTTAGGATGCTGACCCAAGAAGTGCAATTAGCTACGAGCTGAGGTTGGGAGGATGGCTGATTTGTAACTCTGATACTAGTGACTAAAACTGAGAAGGAAGGGGGGGAATAAAAGCAAAAGACGTCACAGTTCTGTAACACTGACAGTAACACACAGGTGATGGGTGCTGTCAACATTATAAACTATATACAAGACAAAGCAGGACTCTTTCTTTTCCCAAAGAACGCAACAACAACAAAAAACGGTGTATATAACAGAGTTGGCACATTATCGCGGGGATGAGGAAAGGGGGCTTCTCCTGAATGTTACAGGCTCAACTCATGACAGTCCAGAGGACAGTTCATCTGTCTAAACATACATCCTCTCCCCCTTCCTCCTTAAATATTTAGTGAAGACCAAGCCAGGATCAATGTCTGATGCAATTATGGTGCTAATAGGACGTTAATAGATGCAAAGGTTTCCCTGAAAGGGAGCACCTTACTCCAGGAAGAGATGAGGGTGGATGGGGGCTCAAGGAGTGTCTAGTGCCAACCTCTGGTGCATCTTCTCATGGGCACTGGTAGCTCATCTGGCAGTCAGTTGGGTAGGGTGTCAAGCCCAAGAGATGCTGCATGCTGCTTTGCCCGGAGCCTTAGGTTCTCAATGCTTGTAGTTTTACTGTTCAGGCTTGGAAGGGAGCTGGAGGCCTGCAGGATGGGTGAGGACCAGACCTGCTGAGCGTGGGAGAGCGACTGGTAATAGGACTGACAGTGCAGGGAGCTCAGCGGGGCCATGTTGACGTTCATGCCCAAGTAGGGCATAGCAGATGGTGTCCCCATTTCGAAGGAGGAGTAATGGACCAAGTTGTTGGTGGCTGCCATGTGCTGGCGGAATTGCTCCTGCAGGCGGAAGAGGCTCAGGGGTGAGGATGAGTAGGAGTGAGTCTGAGCCAGGCTACTGCTGGATGAAGGCGTCACAGTCACGCTGATAGGGGACTCTGTAGCAGGAGACAGAGGGGATGGGGGTTATTTCTACAGGCTGTATGCAGGTGCTGATCCACTCCCCAGTAGGGCTTAGGCTGCACCATTGGCTTCTTTTTTGCATCAGGAGGGAAAATAAGAAGGGCTGTGTTAGCTCAGGAAACCTAAACTTGTGTCTGTTCTATGCCTAGCATCTTACAGCATGAAAACTGGGGCTGACCTCTTTGCTATGAGGCTTTCCTGCTGTGTCATTCCTGCTGCTGCTAGGCACTGTTCTCCCCAAGCTCTAACCTGAGCATAAGATCTTTGCTCTCTATATGCTGCTGCTAAAGTAGACATAACGCCCCTGTGTGGGTCCCATTTAGTGCTGAGGACAAGTCTGGGCAGCCTACCTACAAGCACTCACACCATAGGGAATAAGGGCCTACACCCAACCACCAGCATCCCCCTTGGAAATACCAGGTCCTGACATCAACCCCCATCAGGATACTGCCCCTCACCTGCTTTTGGGCTCGCTCTCTTGCAGTTCAAAGCCTTGCTGTCCACACCAGGGCTCTTGTCCACTTTAACCTCATCCAAGGTGCTCTTGAACTCCTCTTCTCTGTCGGTCTGGTCCTCCGCCGCTGACTCGCTGGCTGACTGCTCCGACAGGGTTAGGTTGAGGTCCGTGCCTACCTCGCTCGGGAGGCTCTGGACCTTCTCGGTGTCCGGGGTGGTGGCCTGGGTCTCCAGCATGGGCAGCTCTGTCTTTCCCTCGCTGTGGCTCCCTTCACAGTCCTTCTGCTTCTGCAGCTGCTCTTTCTGCAGGCTACGCTGCTTCTTACGGAATTTGGCTCTCCGGTTCTTGAACCAAACCTTCAGTGCCACAAACAGCAAAGGGGAAAACTGGTGAGAATCCTGCTTAGTGCCAGATTAAGCATCAGTCAACCCAAGTAATGTGGTACTGCAAGCAATGGCATTCTACTTTGTTGGATCTTAAGAGCTCTACCTGTTTTCAATGCTTCAACACATAGCACAACAATATATTTTAACAAATGACCATCCTCTATGTTGATTCTTTAAGGCACTCCACTGGTGGTGTTTTTCACTGGGATTTTTGTTGCCATTGTTCTATTTCTAAATTGATCAGGCATTTGTGTCCAACCAGAATGTCTCATATCTGAAACTGATGACATTACATTGGCTTACAGGACAGTGCTCTGTTAGTTTAGAAAACAGTCTGGTTATAAATGTACCAAAACTATGGCAGAAACACTCAAAATAATTCATTACAGACATATGCTGCTATCTGGGAACTGAATTTAAGGAAGGAGGAAAGAATCCATGTTTTTCTAACCTTAATCAGTATAGTGGATTGGAAGCAATACATTTGCAAATCTTGTTAGTGTTATTTGGTTAGTTAAATGAGGAAACAAGAATTTTGGAGATCAAAATGTCTTGACGTTTGTATAAAAGAACTACTTTTTTTTACTACTTATCTACTTCACACTAAAGAACTTGCTATTTAGTCTTTTAAAGCCCAGCAGTGCAAGAACCTTCCCACCAGCAGGTTATGAAGCACATTGCACTAGTTGAAATTAAACAAAAAAACATACAACACAAACCCAAACTTTGGCCTGAGATGTTACAAATATTGACACTGGTGGAAAAGAGCAGCTGGAATTACTTGGGTTTCTGCTCTTCTGAGAAAGCCAGAAAAGCCTCGCAAATAAATAAATAAGTAGACTTCTGTTGATGTTTCTAAAATTTCCCCCAAAGAAATGTGAAAGAACAAATGAAAACCAGTGTGCACTTCAGACAATCCTAAATCTAAAAAATGTGCGTGTGGATTAAGAATTTCTTTAGCAGATGTATAACTACAGATGATTTCACCCCCCTCTGCCTCCACCCTCCTCTTTCTTTGACAACTTCACTGCCCCAAAATATTTAGTTACACTGGAAGGATCTTGAAATGCCCCTGGGATCCCCACTATATTCTTTTAAACATCCCCACTCATAGACCCACAGAATATCAGCACCTGGACTCTGGCTTCAGGCAGGTTTGTGCACATGGCCAGCCGCTCTCTCATCACCACATCTGGGTAGTGAGTCTTCTGGAAGGTCTTCTCCAGCGCCTCCAGCTGTTGGGCGGTGAAGGCCGTGCGGCTTCGCCTTTGTTTGCGGTGCTGGGATCCATAACGTGCCTCCAAAATGATGTCTTGAAATGTACAGCCGTTGGAAGACAAGAAAAGTGGCCAGTTTAATTATTGGAATTTGCACGCTGACAGTTGAATAAAGCATTGGCGAACACCAGAACCTTTCGAACATTTTTTTTTCATGGCTCTAGATCTATTAAAACACATACACACATTTCGTTGGTTAATTGAGGTGTTGGAGGTGATAAAACCTCTCACTAGAAAGCTTGTTCTGGAGAGGGAACCTCTTTCTATGGCAGCTATAGAAACTGTTGAGACTCCAATGCTAAATTTGGTTGAAACAAGCCAATCTGCTCCAACAGCAGCAGAGCAGGACATGCAGATGCCCAGACCTCACCGTGGCATAAATAAAGCCTCTTTCATTAAGAAAGACAATTTAAAACAAGGTGGGGATATTCACCACTGTAATCAGAAAAGGGGCCCAATATTATATGACGTGTTCTCCTTAAAGCCAAGGGCTAAGCTTCTGCAGGCTTCATCATTGCCATGAGGTGCTGATCAGTGGGAAGAGTACATGCAGCTTGAACACAGCTGCCTCTGGCTCATTTTGTTGGCTGCAGCTGCCTTAAAAGACGTGCATCTTCCCAGAAACCAGGCTGAGTTGGCTCTTCTTTAGTGTCTCATATGTAGCTCACTGTAGTTATCAAGGCATGATATTGGAATGTTGTTCGGGGTTACTGAGAGCACTCTCCAGCATCTGGGGTGGAAACACTAGCCAGGACCAAGTCCAACCCCATTGACTGCAAGCCCAAGACTCATGTGCTGAGCTCTTCTCAGTAGAGGAGCCACTCACAAGTCTGACTTTGCAAAGTGTGCTTGCAAAATCACAGGCAGAGAAGAAATTCAGACTGGGGAAAATCTGAGGCCAACAGTAGAGGGCTTATTACTTTACCTGAGGTGTTATTATTGCACAACAGTTAGTGGGAGTAGAAAGACCCCAAATCAAAGAAAATAAGTTACTTTATTTAAAATGGAGAAGAGAAGAGAAGAGAAAAAAGAAAAGAAAAGAAAAGAAAAGAAAAGAAAAGAAAAGAAAAGAAAAGAAAAGAAAAGAAAAGAAAAGAAAAGAAAAGAAAAGAAAAGAAAAGAAGAGAAAAGAAAAGAAGAGAAAAGAAGAGAAAGGAAAGGAAAGAAAAGAGAAGAAAAGAAAAGAAAAGAAAAGAAAAGAAAAGAAAAGAAAAGAAAAGAAAAGAAAAGAAAAGAAAAGAAAAGAAAAGAAAAGAAAAGAAAAGAAAAGAAAAGAAAAGACCTTTATTATGCAAGTTGGGACATGCTGTGCTACAGCGTTGGAATGAAATAGTCTGGCGAGAAGTTTGTTCTCAAAAAGGAAATGCAGAAAGAGCACTATCTGGTGTCTTTTTTAATTCAGTTAAGAATCTGACTTCCAGTAGAAGGGAGGAATGAACACTCTACAAACCAACCTAACAGGGAGGAAAGTCGGCATTATCAGCCTGTGGAGCCAGATGAAGGCTCTTGCTGCTGTTTATTTGCGCTTTTGTCATGAGCACTGTGGTATGAATCTAAACAATAAAACAAAACCTGCTGTCAGGCCAGCCCTAGAACCAGACAGCCAGGTTCCAAATACATTGTCTAAAGAGCGCAGCAAATCAGCTTTGCAGTGCTCAAACATTCATCTTCCAAACTTCCAGCTGTTTCATTCTAGGCCAGCATTTGCGGCGCCTTCCTGAGCAATTGCCAAAGCCACGTGGTTTTGGCAAGCTGGAAAAGACATGATCAGGCGAAAGGTCTTCAGCCAAATATGATATAGTGTTGGTTGCCTACAAGAGACTTGTGTTCAAGGTATCGGAGCAACTCGGGGAGTTAAAATGCTGCCTCTTTGAGGGTAAAGAGACCATCCTAGATGCATTCAGATGCAGCACACAGTGCAGCCAGGAGAGAAGGGATGAAGAGGAGAAGGGATGCTCCAGCACAAGAAATTGAAGCTACCCCGTAATATTTTACAAAGCTAACATTTGTGCTTTGAGTACAAGACACCAGGAGAAAGGACACTGGTTCAGTGCCCTACCTGAAGGCTGGAATATTCCCAAATTCCTAGGATAGAGGTTAAACCTACAAGTTCCCCAGAGGCGGCAGCTCATGCATTAAGTTTGGCCACTCCAACGAGAGCCAACCAGCAATTATTTTAATGTTTTAACTATGTTTTCAGGCTTTGTGCAAGAAGGAGAATATAAATTGCAGGTGAGGCTTTGCAGTTGCAATCAGAAACCCCTATTTTCTGACTTAAGGTCATTTGCTTTTGTGCTGCTTTATTCTGACTGTCCCTGGAAGGCAAGTGAGATCTATAACCTGCACTGAAAGATATTCAGAAGTAACAGAATGTGAAGCAACTGCAAAGGAATCAGCTTGTAGGTATATAATGCCTACCCTGGCAATGATAAGCAGAGAAGGGGACTGTGGGATGTAATTTGGAAAGTCTTCCAGTTGGGTTATTAATTTTAAAGATAAGAGGTCAGGAAACCAATTGAATCTCCCGGTCAAGAGCATGAGAATAGCTTTTTTATTCTTTTCTTATCTCCCTCTGCTTTCCCATAGATTGGGTCAAAGACATAAAGTCCCCCATGCTCTGCTGTAAATGATGCAGATGAGGACAAAAATCTGTCAAGAGGAAAGGGGCATTTTGAGACCAAAGGTCTGCAAGGCAGAGTTCAGGACCATCTACTCCCACCTGACCACCTATATGCTGAAAGGATGAGGGAAGGAGGGGATGGATGACCAGGACAAGGAAACTGCCTAGCTGTTGTCACTCCACAGCCCAGCAGCAGAGCCAGGATTAGAGTCCAGATAACCTTGATCCCACTTTGGTTCTTTCTTGATGAGGACAATGACTCCCAGCTCTGCTCTACAGCCCCCCCCAGAGATCCCACAGGCCACAGTGAGCCATCTAAGGAGTCGTGTTAAGGAGGTCACTACTAGCAGCTGGATAAGGGAACATTGTTGGCATGAAGATTTGAGAGTTCATTGATCCAAAGAGTCTGAGACCTTCACCACCATGCCTTTGTGGGCCACACACCTGGAAGGACAATCCCAAAACTTCTGCATCCTTATTCTGGCTTAAGCCCTGTCTCTTAATTTTAGCCCACTAAAGTTGTCTGGATATATGATTATTTTCCACCTACTCTGGGTTGGAAGGAGTCACTCCACATTTTTGTTTTCCTTTAGTATCAGACAACTTTAGAAAGGTATCTTAAGCAGATGTGTAACTTTTGGAGAGTCAGGGAAGATCATTCCATTCTGGGAAGGCCTCTAAAGTCACACCTATGGTAACTTTTTGCTTTAGCTTGAGTAAACTGGTTGTCAGGTCTTCTCTAACACACTGCATCCAAGCCATGACCAAAATGGTGGTGGTGCAGCTGTTGACCATTTGCATTGTAGTAGCCTCTGATGATCTCAGCCAGATCTGGGTGCTTTGTGTTAGGCTGAAATCTAGAGCAGATATGTTTGCCCTACCATATCAAATAGTCTCAGGTCTCCATCAATTATTTTTGAACAATTCCACCTACCAAATGATAAAATACTATCTGGACTTTACACTTCTTTATTATGGCAATATTGATGCAGTTCCTGCCTAACTGTCCCCCCATCAACAACACTGTATAAATAACACCCTCTTTGAGCCTAAAAAAACTTCTTAAGGCAAAATACAAAAGCAACAGAGAGGGAGCCAAGAGGACCTGCAAGAAAGCATCACCCAAGCCAGGGTCTAGGATCCCCAGGAAGAAATAGGTCAAGCAAGGTGAGACCCAAAGAAGATCCGAATGAAGATGATTTTCCAAGGTGTTTGGTAAGACAAGAAGTAGAAAATAGTTGCAAGAAGGGACAATAAGGAAGAGCAAGCTATGGCCTGGGATGGCAGGAGATGGCTGTTAGGTGATGCAGGTCCCAGGCCCCTCGATGGGGAAATCTAATTCATTGCATGCTTATATTCATTGTGCTCTTATTTTCCAACAAGAGCATGAAATTTTCTGCTATGCTTTTGTTCACCTGTTAAAACACATTACAGTGTGGTTTTAATTCTCCCTTTTCAATCCCACATAGTGGGGCTGCATCCCTTCTCACCCCCGGGCTCCCCAGCCATCAGAAGACAGTCTGCAGTTAGGTGCAGCAATCCACTGGCAGCCAAAACAGGAGGGCACGTTCCACATGCAGGTCTTGGCCACATGGCCGGTATTGTGGTGCACACCATCCAGTGGTCTACGTCACACTCCATATCCAAAGAAGAGTTTCACTCAGTGCAAGCAGCAAGGGTTCTTTTCCCCAGGGAACGGCAAAAACCATTAAGTTGTTCTTACCAGCCAGTCTCTCTGCCAGGGTGAGGGCATGCACGGAGGGCCTGTAGTCAGGGGCGTGCTGGGCTTGCTGAGCTGCCTGCTGGTGGAGGTTGTACATGGCGCTCAGTGAGTTCATGGCATGGAGGGAGTAACCGTTCACTCCATAGTGCTGCATGGTGACATAAACCTGGAAAACAGCAGTTAGAGGAGAGAGGTGCTTAAAAATGTGCAATTCCAGCGTCCTGGTGTCTCCGCAAAGCTTTGGAAACGCTGAGCTCAAACTTAGACTGCTGCATGCAAGGCTCAGTTCCAACCTCACAACTCCAACAGGTTCTGGGACAGGAATCAAAATACCTCCTGTAGACCTGAAGCAACAGCAGCACCAGATTGGTTTCCAAGCTAGAGACAAGCATCTGACTATATCCCACTCATGATATGTTGAACAAAAGATGGGAAAGGATTTTTTTTAATATACCATAATGATATTTATCTTATTATTGTGATTTTCAATGAACTGAAATAGCTCCATCCCAGGACTAGCTGGAATTTTGCCCTTATCATTGCCTACAATGGGCTGTTCTGTAATCCCATCGCTGTAATGTCAAATAACCTTTCTTATCGGAACTCATATGCAATTTGTTTCCATTCGTTTTCCTCAAAGTTCTTCATAATGAAACACAAATGGTACAGGGAAAAAAAAAAAAAAACACATGTGGTGTAAAAGAAAATAAATCTGTAGCATAATAGGACCACAAATGTTATGGCTAAAGAGGGAATTAAGGTTTGCAATAAATACTGATGTTTCATAGCTCAATAGCAAGGAAATTATTTCCAAAAACAAATGGCTTTTTTTTTTCTAGTGTGGGCTCTGCGTGAAGCTTCAAGCTGTTTTTCCTCACAGACCATCTGTAAAACTGAGCTCATATTGATCTCAAAAGCTGAGTGATGCTTCATAAATCCCTGTTATAAATGAGTGAGGGCCTCCAGGATGCCGTTTCTGCAGCTTGTAAGACATTGGAAAGGAAGTTGTGAAACACTTGCTACAAAATATAATTCTTAAAACACCATTTACATCAGCAACTCATCATCTGGGAAGTCAGTGCAATGAATGAATGAACATGAAAGAAAGAGGTCCAGCTGCACTAAGCTAAGGAAAGCAGACGGGTTATCTAGGCAATCTTAGAAACCCCCGATCGCTGGAGGGAGGTGGTTCAACTCCTGTGATTTTAGGAGAAACCTGATGCATTGAACAGCAGAAATTTGGATAAACAATTATCTGTTGCTTTTCCTACACAAATGAGGAAAGACTTTCATTTTGTCCTGTGGAGGATTTACACCATGGAGGACAGACTCTCATTAAAGAGGAAGGAATGGAAGCAAATTGGTCCCCCTACCTCTCCTGCTCTGAATTGCTGCTCTCCCAAACCACCTTGATGTAGGAAGCACAAACATGGAGTGACCAAGCTGTACCTCCTGGGAAAAGCAGTTAATTTTGTCCTATATGGTCTGGCAATGATCTAGGGCACCTTATGGCTTCACCCTCTCAAGTGTCTCTCCAATGTGGTACCCAGGAATGCAGAAAGAAGGCATGCAGCTGGAGTTTGGTTATTCTGCCAGCTCAGGGATGGTCTTCATTGCTCTGGGATGGGTTTGTGGTTTAGACTGAGGGATTCTATGATTCTGCCATGAGTGACAGTGTTGCCTTTGGGATTGTCTTCTCAAAGAGGCTGCAGCAATTATAAACCAATAATTTGGGAATCTAGCACTCAGCCTCATTCCTATTTCCTTAAGTCTCTTGTGCTCTGCCACCACATGATTTCAGTGCCAAGAGCACTGGTGGAAGGCAACAGATCCAGGTGCGTTTACATCATAGAGACCTGATACACACCCTGATGCCATCTTCATCTGTTTTGTGTCTCCCTATTCACCCACCCTGGATTCACTCCCCAATCCCTTAGTTTTAGATTCAAAGAGAGATCAGTGGCTATCCAGTACCTACATACAATCATAGAATAGCTCAAGTTGGAAGGGATCCACATCCCACCTTGCTCTGCACAACGACAGCCACAACCTTATGGCCCATGGAGAATATTACTGGTCACATCATTTATTACCACATCCTATGTAGAACTATAAGAAAAAAAACCTACCTCCTACCTGTCCTACAGACTGACAATTTTTTGCGTGAATAGCTGATATATTGAAAAATGCATTTAAGGAGATGTATTGTAGCTAGCTCTGAAAAGCAGGGGAAAATAAGATCTGCTTTGTTTTATGGTATCCAGGCAATTACTTTTGAATTCAAAATGCTTCATTTCAAATTTCGCCCTAGTTTTTATAAAAGCAAAGACAACCCCAAACCAAAATAATAACCTTCATCTATATCCTATTAAGGATTTATTCACTCTAAGAGGAGAGAAAGCGCATACTGTTCCAAGCTGAACCACTGTGAAAACAGATATTTTTGGCTCACATGCTGGCCTAAACACAAGAATGCCATAGCTCTGCTCTAATCGAGCTTAGGGAAGACCTGAACAATGCCAAAATTGTCTTTTGGTTCTCTGCTCAAGGTGAGGAGGGACTTCACACACCAGCAGATTGTTGGCATTTCATTTTCCCCCACAGTGGGTTCACAGTGAAATTCCAGCAGGGATGTTGCTTTGCTGCTGGTGGCACATGATATGGGACCAGAGCCTGACCCAGTGACACGTGCCATTGATGTGGCCACATCTTTCCATGATACCTGGGCAAGACCTGCAGGTCTGTGACCTGGACACTACCACGGATGCTTCTGGTGGTGTCTGTGGAGCAGCCTTACCCCACCCTGGCATGTTCATTTTCAAAGAGGATCATCCCACCCTACCCTATGGCAGTGTGGCATTCAGCACACACCGGGCTGGCTCAGACCCCATCATCAGCCAGACCCCATCCTCATCAGCAAGACCACTGCAGCCAGCTGGAGAGCTGTTGGCTGCTTTGCTTTTGCAGTCCAGGAGCAGACTGGCTTTTCTGCCTAACGCAGGCAGTGAAAGAGAGGTTTGCAACTTCACGTTGCCTCCTCTCTTCCCACCCCTTAACTAGTGAACCAGCTGGCTGGTTCCACCAGCTTTGGCCAGCAGGGTGGGGAGCTCAAAGCTTAAGTTCCTACATGCTTTGTGGAAATCATTTGAGGACACAGAACCTACTAACTGCCCTGGGCTGCTGCCAGACCTCTGTCCTTAACAGATGCTGGAGAATCCACACCAGGGCTCAGCCTTGCCAGGAGATACATGGGAGGCCAAGTGTCTTTGACTCCCAACTCACAGAAACGCCTGTTTCTTTTCTAATCCCCCTTGCATGATGTTGGTTGTGTACCAAGCTGGCACACTAAGGGACAAACGAAGAGGGCGAGGAGAGGAATTTTCCCATACTACATAGTCTTGTGAGGATGCTGCCAATGATGTTGTGTCTGGAGCTCAGTGTTTCCACTGAAACACTTGCTCCGGGAAGATTGCAGTTTATTTGATTGTTAGAAGATGCTTTTGTGTGTACGTGTGTGTCTGAACAAACTCTTCTGGGTGGCCTAGAAGAGAGTGCATCACATAAAGAATAAAGAAAATAAAAAGCAGGGGACTTAATGGTGGACTCAGGACGGGAGTCGATACCCATCACAGCTTTGGTGATGACTCCCTGGCATGCTTTGGTGCAGACAAGAGGCAGAACTTCCTACTCACTTGTGCAGCAAATATATCATCCCAGATTCAGTATCAAAAATGAGGGAATTTACTGAGTGAGACTGTTCAGCCTGGTAAGCAAAGTTAACTGAGACCGCAAACAGCTCCTGTTTAACCATCAGCTCCGAGCACACTTCAACCCCAATAAATTAAATATTTAAAAGACATCATGCAGCAATTTTTTTTTAATGGAGAAAGCCATTCATCAAGCCACTGCCGTGTTTCACAAGCTGTCGAATAGTGCTTACACTGGTTAAAATAATCTTTATATTTCATTAAGCAACCAAATAAGCTGATCCCTTCCCACTGGCTGTATAGATGGTTTTAATTTTCAAACTCTGCAAATGCATCTTTTATGTCTCTGGGTGGCTGGAGGGCCTCAGGAACAGCCACAGCTGGGAGGAGGATGAGAGCAAAGTTTGAGCTTCTGCTTTATGGAAGGGTACAAGCTAAGAGCAGCTGGGAGAGTAATGTAAGGTCCATCCCAAAAGAAAGGGAATGCATCACCCCAATTTTCTGCATCACAGATCACTGAAGAGTTGGGAGCAGTGTAGAAAGGAGTTTGGAGCTGAGAAAAGGTGCAGGAAAAAAATATGGGGTGAGGCTATCCTGGGTTTGCCCCTGCCAAGAGCCAAGGGCTGATCCTGCAGTATTTGCTCAGCGCAGGGGGATGGATGTCTCCCTGCAGCGCCTGGGGCTGGTGGTTTCCTTCTCCATGGCCCCTCTGGACCTCATCAGTGACCCTCCCATCCCTGGCATCAAAAGACTTGCTCTTCCTCTGCTACCCCTATTTCGCAGCACCACGCTGTGAGGTCTCTGCACCATGCCGTGCGCCGGACCCTGCCGGGGTTCCCACTCCTTCTGCCTTTGCAATCCTGGCATTACTACCTCAGTCCCAAAAACTCTCCTATGGCTTTTACCTCACACTTAAGTCTTCACCATGGAAGTTGCATGGATGCTGAACCCATTTTTCTTTCTAAGCCTATAGGGAAGAGATAGGTTCTTCTAAGATCTGACCCCACAGAGAGGACTAGGGGCCCTCCTTAGCTTTAACTGCTGCTGGCTGTGAGAAACCCAGGTTTCTCCATCATCTGCATTGCCTAGAAGCCAGGCAATATAGGTCCCTGCCCATCCCAGACTAATCCAGAGAGCAGATCACTCTTTATTCAGCAATTGCTGCTTAATCTTAACACAAAACAATTCACCCATTTACCAGCCAGGATTGAGAAACCCGTTCTCCTGGAGCAAAGCAGCATTACTCCAGTTGCAATGTGGTTCCCATCCACCGCTTCCCAACACTGGCCTTGAAAACCTCAGGTTTCCATAAAGTCATATAGCACAAGAGTATTGCAATTTATTGTATACCACTTAATGGTGTAGTATATAAGCAGAATTTGTCCATGGGCTTTAATATTATCAGCTCTGGCTTCTCAACTTTTGCAAAAGGCTTTAAATTTCCCTGTTAACTGGTAAT